CTAACAAAAATGTATGAAAAATGCAATTGTCTTGTTCACTGAAGTATTCACACGCTTAAGTCAAAACCTCATAGAAGCACCTTTTGCAGCAGTGACAGGTTTGAGTGATCTGGGGTTTGTCTGTATCAGCTTTGCACCTCTGGATCGGGAGGTTTTTGCCCATCCTTCCCTGCAGATTTGCTCAAACTCTGTCAAGTTGGATGGGAAAGGTTAGTGAACGTTAGCAGACTTCAATTCATTCCACAGGTTCCCCTTGGGATTCAAATCTGGGCTCAACGTCAGAAAAGCATGACTGAAAGCCACCATATTAACTCACGTTAAGGCGGTGTGCGGAGTGAATGTGTTAGATTTTAACTGTTTTAACCCTCAAACTGTACAGAAGCCTTTTCGGGCCACAGAGAAAGAAAAATATTGTGCTTAAACAAGATAACTGAGTTTAAATGAGATAACACTGCATTTGAGTGCAATGAGTATTACAGGTAATATTGCCCTTAAAAGAGACAGCTCTGCTAACACATCACCAGCAACAGGACTTTCTTCATTCCGTTTGGGTCAGCTTGCTCTATAACTGTCTTCTTCATAAATGTATTTACTCTGTAGGCTATGGCTTTTGTGCCATCCTGGGATTAGTTTTGGGTTTGTTTGGCATTCTCATATCTCTTTACATTAATTACTGTGTGAACTGGCACAGAAATACTGTTTCGACTCACTCCAAATGGCAGGACACGTTTCCTGCCGTGTGCTGTGTATTTCAAAATTCAGATGTATTTGATGTGAACTGAGGCTGAAAGCCTTTGAGATTTCTGTGCTTAAATTTTTCAAAGTTCGACTAACAGTACCAGTAACCCAACTGCAGGTGAAAGTCTTACTGTCCAGTCCTCATAAACAGATTCTGTTCAAAGGAACAATTAATAGGTTTACTCCATGCTGAAAAGGGAAGAGAGAAAACACAACGTTGTGTTTTCTTTCTTCTCTTTTCAGCATGGAGTAAACCTATTACTCGTTCCTTTGGAGACTACGCATGCTGACGCAGCTACCCGCCCGAACTACATCAACCAGATTCGGTTCAAGGTTTAAAGATTAGGCAACAATCAATCTACATGTTACTGCAGTTTCACCTGAAGAATAAAATACGTTTCTAAAGCAGTGTCATTTTTGCTTTTCATAAAAATGACGTGTGTAACCCAGGAATGCTCAATCACAAGGTGTTCCACTTCATGCATGCTAAAGTATACAGCACACGTACTCCTTTAGACTAATTCATTTTCACAAAGAAGAGTGGGCCAATATCCTTCTGTTGATAAGACAATGTGGCTTGCATGGGACAATATTATTGCACATATATTTCAAGATATTAATATATCAGGCAATATTGTTTACACAGTAATTAAGGTTAAGCACAATGTTATCTCATTTAAATGCAACATTATCTTGTTTAAACGGGCAGCGCTTTCCTGTTTAAAACCAATACCATCTCGTTTAGATGCAATAAAAACACCCCCATGGTGCTAAGAGGATTCTGTAACTGCGTGCCTCACTTGACTTGGTTGTACCTCACGAATGACTAGCAGTGGAGGTGCCCTCAACGCGGTCCTTTCCATCTGGGGCAGCTCGCTCTATAACCGTCTCTTTCTTTAGACACGATCGACCTAGAGCCTCCGCCTCTATCCGCGCTCAGACAGCCCAGTCTTCTCTCTCTTCACTGTAGCTGGCTGTTGGTAGCCAGTGTCCAGCTGCCAATCTCCATGGATTGTTGCCAAAACCGGCCCCCTTCCGGGGTTTTAATCTCTTGCTCTCTCGGGAGTTTCCCCACGAGACTCTGTTTCTCCTGGGTCCCCCTTGACAGTGAGGGTCTCACCCAAACCTGAGTCGACCAGGACCGGTCACCCGCTAAACCCTTAGACTGGGAACACGGGGCTTCACACGCGATTGGTGACACCAATCCCCTAACATCCTCGTGCGTACTTGATCGTTATGCGCTCTCTCCCCATATCTCCGTATCTGGAGAGGATCCTCATGAACCTCAGAGGGAGGATGAAGCTTGACGTCGCCAAGTGGGGCCTCTCCACGGCGAAGGAGCCCTAGAAGAGACTGTGGGCCCTGTACAGGGACTAAGGAGGAAAACCCTGTTCCCTGAGCTCCTGCGGAGGACTGGAGAACTGCAGTTTCAGAGCCGGGGACAGGGGAAAGCCGAGGACACAGCAAGTGGTAGGGCTTGGAGGGACTCTTTCATTGTGCAAATCCAGCCCCAGCAACCACTTGCACAGGAACCAATTGAAAAAGGACAATCACCCTTTTTAAGAACTTTTTATAACTTAGTTGAGATTTTATGTTATGTTCGAGGGTGTACCCATGGTAACAATGTAGTATATTGTGGAATAAATTTTATTTTGATAAAGAAAAATCTCGAGTGTCTCACTGCCGCCCTCTGGGCCGCTCAAGGACCTTCGCCTTCTTGTTCTGAAGCCTCTCCAGTGTCACTCTGGCTGCATGCGTGGGGGGGTGAGGTGGTCCTGCTGGAACGCGAACCCTTGCCCTGGCGTGAGCTGTTACTGGCTGGAGCAGGTCCTCCTCAAGGATTTTGCCTGCTCCATTCATTTGTTTGCCTCCTTACAGACCGAGTCCCTGCTACTGAAAAGCAGCCCCGTACAATGACGCTGCTACCGCCATGCTTCATAGTTACACAGGTGATGAGCTGCGCTTAGTTTGCACCGGGAATAACGTTCTGTGCTCAGGCCAAAGAGGTCAATTTTTGTTTCCCATATCTTTTCCCATATGGTCTCAGGGTGTCAAGGAACAGTTCTTTCCGGGCCCTATGCGGACAACACGATCCAAAAGGTGAAGAAAAATATCATGCAGGAGTCGGTCAGGCGACAGGGGGGCGTGTCCATGCAGTGCTAGTGTCCAGGGGGAGTGAATCCAGGGCGAACAATCCAAGGGTAAATCCAGCGGGGGAATCCAAGACGGGAAGTTTAGTCCAAGACCAGGGGATCCATCCGAAGTTAAAACCAGAACCGGGTCGGGACCGGCGGGACAGGGAATCAGGAACAGGAAACTAAAACCATAACAGAGCCAGACGCAGCAGGACCCCGGGCTCTCACAATGCGGAAATCAATGAGAAGCCCCGAGCAATCGCCTGCGTCTGGCTTTAAAGGTGGAACTAAAGAGGGGCTGGAATGAGGAACAGGTGTGGGGAATGGGACAGAACGAGGAAGGGCTGGAGCGCCCTTAAGAGGAGGAGTAACAATCGTGACACAGGGTTTGTTATGTGCCTTCTTGCAAACCCCAGGGGTGCTCTTTGCTTACAGCTTGCCCGTCTGCCCTAGGGACTCAATCTGTGTAGTGCTGCAGAGATGTCTGTCCTTGGACAGGTTCTCCAGTCTCGGCTAGGGAACTCTACGGTTCTGTCAGAGTGGTCACTCGGTTCTTGGTCACTGCGCTAACCAAGGTCCTTCTTGCCCAGCTGCCCAGTTTTGGAGGACAGCCTGCTCTGGGAAGAGACAGGAGACATTTTTGCCAATGTGGATATGTTCTTATACACAGATTCCTCTTCACAGATGCACGGATCTCTGCCTCCTCGCATCCAACAGTCATGAACAGCACTTCGATCTTGTCACGGATTGTTGGAAAGGACGAAACGTGGAATGGCAGGAGAGCGTAAAAAGACCCTATGCATAGCGGCGAGACAGGGGTTAGCCCGGGCTCAGCTGTTCAGGGAATGCCGTATAGAAACCTATGCCCTCAGGTAGCGGATGTGGGGCGACCTGGTGCTAGGCGGGTTTCAGGACATCCGAACGTCAATGCTGAGCCAAGGCAAATGAGAGACCCAGAAATATATAGCCCCAGAGAGAGAAACACCGGAAGGACAGCAGAGAAGCGGAAATGAGAGACAGGACAGAGAAGGAGCGCCCTCTGGCTGCAGAGGGCGTGACAGATCTTCACGGTGGAGCTTCTGCTCTCACGTGCACTGTCCACTGAGTGACCTCAACTTACGCGTGTTTATTCTGAAACCATGTCAACCCGTCAACCCATTAAAGCAACCACAAGTGGACTCCATCCAAGTTTTAGAGTGATCTCACAAAGGCATTAGAAACCCTAAGGCACAATCTGATGTGTCATAGCCAAGAGGGGGGAGCGAATACTTAGCAAATCAAAACATTTCAGGGTTTTCTTTTAAATTACATGTAAAACAATCTAGAACTTTCCACTTTGAAAAAATACTAGATTGGTTGCAAAAAAAAAACTCCCATCTACAGTAAATGTATCCCTATTTCAGTTTGCAAAATTACACTTTGTGGACAAATCCAAGTGAATACTTTCTGAATACACTGTCTGTGTGGTTCTTGATATGAAAACCTGGGTGTTCAGTCAACAGCAGCATTACCAACTCAGAGGCTGGTTTTGACAGCTCTAGGAGGCTAAGAAGGGCTGGGCCTGGCCGGTACTGTGATGACAGACCTCTGTGGAATATCAGGTTGCTTTTGTTGCACCAGGGCTCAGTGTAAAGACCTTCATTGTGGAACCTGTGTTGGAGACCCGGAGGTAGTGGTCAACAAAATGGAAACACCAATGTAAATTCCCTTTGTCATGAAAGCGTTTTTCAGGACCCTATGCAGGCGATAGAATCCAGAAGGGAGTGAAACAAACACGGGAGAAGATGGCGAGAAACTGCGCAGGTTGACGAACAGGGGAACGGTCCCCTGGTGCTCGGGGGGGGCGCGGTCCAGGCAATCCAGTCCGAGGGAGTCCAGGGGGAAAACCGGGGCGATGTCAGTCCAAAAACCATGAAATCCAGATGAGACGACAACAAGACAAAGTTAAAAACCGGAACGGGATCTGGTGCAGGGAGAGGGAATAACAACGGGGGTGACGAGGCCAGGCCCTCTGAGCCCCGGACTCAGCTGGGTCAGGACGCCGACAGGAAGCCTATGCCCTCAGGCTGCGGACGAAGGGCAACTTGGTGGTAGGCGGGCCTCCGGGCAGAGCCAGGAATAGAGTGAGCGTCTGGCTTTTAAGGAAGCGCTGGATAGGAGGCAGGTGCACAAAATCAACCGAAATGTGAAAGAGCCGGAGTGCCCTTTAGGGGGAGTGATGACAATCGTGACACCCTTAATAATAAAGTCCCTTAACGTCTGGCTTCCCTAGTTTAGACAATGAAAGGGAAATGGCTGAGGTAGCAAATGAGTATTTCACTAAGGAGGAAGCCAGCGAAAGACCTCAGGAAGCAGAAGGAAATACAATCTTTATTAAACTGTATTACCATAGAGGAGGGAGAGGTATTTCAGGTACTAAAAGCTCTCAAGATGGATAAATCCCTGGGGTCTAGTGCTATCTTAGCAATCGTACTCAAGGACCACAGTCTTTCAAGACGGGGTAGAACCCAGGGACTGGACAAATTGCTAATGTAGTGCCCATTCACAAAAAGGATAAAAAAAGCTAAACCAGGTCATTCTAGACCAAGAGGTTTGACTTCTTTTGCACATAAGGTAATGGAAACAATTATAAGAACTCAACTAGAGGATCATGGATTTAAAAAAGACAGTTTGCCTAACCAAACTGTTAGAGTTCTTTGAACAAAAAAGCAACAACAGTAATGGGTACACAAGGGACATGAGACATATTTATTTTACACTTTCAGAAGGCTTTTGATACATTTCCCTCAAAAAGATTACATTTCAAATTAGAAGTGTTAGGCATTCAGGGGAACACAAGCCTTTGGATTGCGAACAGGTAATTAAATAGAAAACAGAGGGTACAGATAAGGGGTGAATACTCAGACTGGAACGATGTAATTAGTGGAGTACCGCAGGATCTGTAAAAGGACACCATAGTAAACCTGTCATGTTTTCAGATGATACCAAATTAAGAGAATAAGTGACCACTGTAGAAGCAGCAAATGAAATTCAAAGTGTTTCAGATAAAATTCCAAGTGCAAAAACACCTGGCAAATAATGTTTAATGTAGACAAATGTAGGCAGTAAAACGGAATTATAAATACAAAATGGGACAATACTTAGGTATGTACCCAAAGGACTTAGGTGTTTGTGTTGACATGTCATTTTCACCTTTAACATAATGTGGGGAAGCGGTTAAAAGGACAAAGAGAATGCTAGAATATACAGTTAAAATCATAGAATTTAAATCAAGGAGCGTTGTGTTAAAACCGTATAAAGCAGCGTTAAGTCCTCATTTAGAATACTGTGTATCATGTTGGTCACCGTGTTCCAGAAAGGATGCAGCAACTCCGGAATTCATCCGTAGAAGAGCAACCAGAGACATTAAAGGCTCAAGAGAATATCCTGACAGGCTCAAAGAACTGATCCTTATTTGTCTTTGTTACAATGCGTAGTTCGGGACCCTATGCAGACAGTATAATCCGGAAGTAAGTGGAAACGGACACAGGGGGGAGACGATGAGGATCAGGACAGGCTGACAAACAGGGGGGCTTGGCAACAGTGAACTGGGGCTCAGGGGGGGGCGTGGCCAGGGCGAACAAGTCCAGAGGAGTCCAGGGGGTAATCCAGGGCGAAGTCCAAAAGTCCAGAGCTGGGTTAACCATCCAAGACAAATCGAGACAAGGTTTAAAAACCGGAGCTGGATCCAGTGTAGGAGCGGGGAATTAAAGCAGGTTAACGAGGCCAGGCGCTCTGAGCCCCAGACCCAGACTGTCAGGACGCCGTGGTGAAGCCGATGCTGTCGGGTCACTCCAGGACCCGCTGGTTGGCGGGTGTCACGTAGCAGTTCTTTCCGGGCCCTGTGCAGACGACATGATCCGGTTGGTGAAGACACAGTAGGAATAAAATAATGCAGGAGAAGGGATGGAGACAAAGGGGCATGTCCAAGGAGTGCAGGTGTCCAGGGGAAGTGAGTCCGGGGCAAACAATCCATATAGGAAATCCAAACGGGCAATCAGAAACAAGGGCTGAAGTCCATGGCCAGGCGATCCATCCGGGGTGGTGGGGGAACAGGAACCGGGTCAGAACCGGCGAGGAGAATCAGGAACAGAAAGTTAAAAGCATAATGGAGCCAGACGCAGCAGGACCCTGGGCTCTCACGAAACGCGATTCAATGAGGAACCTCGAGTAACGACTACGCCTGGCTTTTAAGGTGGAACTAAAGAGGGGCTGGAATAAGGAACAGGTGTGGGGAATGAGGCAGAACAAGGAAGGGCTGGAGCGCCCTTAAGAGGAGGAGTGGCGATCGTGACAGCGGGCTTCCGGGTGTCCACTTTCCAATGCTGAGCCCAGAATGGTAGGAGCGTCTGGCTTATATAAGGAGGGACTGGATAGGAGGCAGGTGCACAAAATCAACTAAAATGTAAAAGAGCCAGAGCGCCCTTCAGAGAAGGGATTACAATCGTGACAGTCTTGTACTCAGACGACTACGAGTAGAACTAATACGAGTATTCACAATCCTCAAAGACACTGGCAAAGTCCACCCATTGGACCTTTCTGAAAGAACAGTCATACGCAGACTACAGGGCACAAATACTATGTGGAAATGATTTAAAACTGAGCACAGGAGGTGCATTTTTCCTCAAAGATATGTGGGAAACTGGAACATGCTGCCCGTCCACGTTGTTGAGGCTGACCTCCCGGTTTATATCAGGCAATGTCTGGATGAGATCCTTGGATCAATGAAGTACCTAACCGGTGAGATGGGGTGTCATTTGTAACCTTTTTTCTGTCACACCGGCTCTCGTGGAAACACAGGTGTAGTTGCCAAGGCACCGCTGCCACCAGATAAGCCCCCAGTCGGCCTGTTAACTCCTCGGTTATAATGACAACGAGACTGGAACGGAGATCTATTCCACCTGTGCGCCTACCTGTCACGGACGTCCAAAGGGACTCACCGTGGGGAGCAGGAGAGCGGAAAAAGACCCATATGTGTAGCGGCGAGACGGGAAAAAGGCCCGGGCTCATTAGTGCAAAGAGTTCAGGAATGCCGTATAGAAACCTATGCCCTCAGGGAGCGGACGTGGGGCGCCCTGGTGCTAGGCGGGTCTCAGGACATCCGAACGTCAATGCTGAGCGAGGACAGAGTGCAAGACCCGGAAATATATAGCCCGAGGGAAAGAGAGGGACAGGAAGGACAGCAGACCGGAAACTAGGGACAGGACAGAGAAGGAGCGCCCTCTGGCTGCAAAGGGCATGACACTACCTTGCTCACCAGCAGATATTTAAGACCTGTGATGACAGGGCTCCCCGCTCAGCCATAGACTTATTCTTGGGTGTCAGTCTTCTCTTGCTAATCTTCTCTTGGCAGTTTTGTCTGGCTTTGTTATATGCTTGCTTGACGTCATTCTCTGCTTCATAATAATAATAATAATAATAATAATAATAATAATTGCTTACACTTATATAGCGCTTTTCTGGACACTCCACTCAAAGTGTTTCACAGGTAATGGGGACTCCCCTCCACCTGGATGATGAGACAGCAGCCATAGTGCGCCAGTACGCTCACCACACATCAGCTCTCAGTGGGGAGGAGAGCAGAGGGATGAAACCAGTTCAGTTTCCAATGGGAAATTTGGCCAGGACGCCGGGGTTACACCCCTACTCTTTTCGAGAAGCGCCCCGGGATTTTTAATGACCAGAGAGAGTCAGGACCTCGGCTTGACGTCTCCTCCCCCTGTGTGTGTTTATTCCAGCTTTAAGCAGGCCCATTTTGACTTCCCTCCGGACTGTATTTTGTGCTTCGAACCTGACTCCTCGATTGTTCGGCATGGACCCTTGCTCACTTAGCTACAGCTTTGACTACCCTTTCAGATCATTCCTCTGTGCCTTTGCTCCAGGGTTCCTCGGCTGCGACCCCTGTCTGTGGGGCTTACTTAGACTTCAGACTGTGTTTTGGTTTCACTTTGGCCAGCTTGCATACAGCCTGCTCAGCTGCCGCACCTGCAATCGGACTCAGCATTATGGACGAGCATTATTTCTCAGATTTGCTATTTCTTACAAGAAAAACAATGTGCAATGATGGAATAATACACACATGGAAAATACTGCTTCAGTTATGATAAACATTAATAATGCAAATAATTGTCACTCTACAATTCAGTTTTATGTGTCTGATATAGATCTTGTAATGTACAACACTTTATCCAGTCTTTTCAAAGTGTATGAAAATGATTTATATTGTGGCTGGCCTCATTAAAAATCAGATTTTTTCCTAAACATCATCTAAATCTCTTCGTTTATTTATTTCGTTATTAGTTACAAGATCAAAGTGAAGTTCTGGAGGCTTCAGCAGAGCTTATGTGCTAATTATTTGTAATCTGACACTATAACACTAAAAACACACTGAGCCCTCCCAGAAAAGCATTCCACTACTGTATGTAGGAAACAGACAACCTGCACTGTTATTGGAAAAGTAACACTCAAACCCTTTACTGCAGCAAAGTGATTAATAGCCCATACACATTCCGAACAGAATCCTTACAAATCCTTTTGCAGGCTTGCTACAAGAACTCAACACATTTGAAAGAACCCTGCAAATTCGTTTTGAACGAGTTTTGCGTGGTATTTTGACTAATCGAGGAGAACATGTATAGTCGTTCTCACATCCAGCTGTGAAGCGATTTCTTTCCAAATATTTTCCAGTGAATGTTAACCCGTACGTCTTGTTTTACAGATTCAAGCTTCATAAACTGTATGTAAGGAAACGGTTTATTAAAAGGCTTTGCATTTTTACTGCTCATCTAAAAAAAAAACGACGTCCCTGTTATATCTTATTTGCTTTTTAAATATACATGTGGATAATTTGATATTCCCAAACGGTGTATAGACCCGCGGCTCGACAATTTACAGTCGGGGGAGATAAATAATTAAAGAAAGGTACTCACGCGTCTGTGGGTTCGCTGTGTGTAGTGCCCTCGATTCTGTGAACCAACGTGTCCTTTTAACAATAAAGAATTGTTAACAGTAAACAGATTAAGAACATCGAATTGTATATTGTATAAAAAAAACATCAAATATACAGCACATACTTAAATATCTACGAAAGCGTTGCGCTGTACGACTAGGATGTTATATTTTATGCACTAGTGCTATTCAGATGCAAATTAATACACAGGTCTGTATTCGAGGAGTACAAACATTTGTCTTTCCTCCAAGAGACAGAGTTCTACGCTCCACAACACCACGGTCCGCAGTTTTTATCCCAGAGCAGATTTCTGTCATTGGTGACGTGACAGAAACATGAGCTCGCACGCTGGAAGTTTCGAAGTTTGTCGGGATCACTGATCATGAACTCCAGCGCGTCCGATCCAACAGACCAGCTCATTCTTGTTAGAGTTTACAGTAGACATTCACGGTGTTTTCACTGAACTCCACGTACAGTACACGCCCCCTCGGCGACGGATTTAGAATTCGGAATTACCTTGTTTTTTTTAATTAATAATAGACCAAGAAACTTTTCGTTATTCACCCACTTGACGTGTGCTCAAAAGCTTTCTCGAAATGCACCGTGCGCGAAATCTCAAATAACCGATTATCCAGTTAATGTAAATGAATGCATAAATATCTTTCTACAAGCACACGCTGTTGCGCCCTTCTTTAATTGTCCCAGCTCTCACAAGTCTAAAAATGCCCCCCTATTAATCAGCACACCCACCGGGAGACCTCTAAACGTGTGCACGCACAAGTTATCCTGACATTTGTTTTCTCGGGAACCGTGACTTACATTTAACCGAGAGCTCACGGCGCCCGAGTCAGGAGCGAAAAGGCTTTTCTCCCGAGGAAAACCGAGCGTGACGTCCCCCCTCTTCCCGGTGTCGGGTCCCTGGGGAGGCTGTTTCCCCACTTTCAGCTGCTCCACACTCTGCGTGCGCGGCGTGGAGCTGAACTCGTTCCTCGGGTGCACCTGTCTCGCATTACAGAAGCTGTACGTGTGAGATCGGCCAAGCGACTTCTTCGGAGGCGTCCTGTGGGAGTAGAAACGGCGACCGTCGCACTCCGCCAGCACCCGGTCCAGCTCCCTGTCGATGTCGTCTTCATCGTCGTCCGCGGAAACGTCGGAATCGTTTCCTTCGCTGTGGCAGTGCGGTCGGAGCCTGTTGCCTGACTGGCTGAAGTCGGAAATATTCGGGACCTTGTAGCTTGTGAATAAGCGACTGTCGTCTTTAGGGTCTCGTTCGTTGCCGTCTTTTTTCTCCGCTCGGTAAGCCTTTGCCTCTCTCACCAATTCGGGTGCGATTTTTTTCCCTCTGCTGCTGCCGCTACCCATATTGCCGCTGCTGCTGCTGCTGTTGCTACTGCTGGTAGGAGTCTCGGGTGAAGTAAAAGTCCCACAAGTTACCGCTCACATTTTTCTGATGTCTGGGATGTGGTTGAATTCCTCGGACCCCCCCACCACAGAAGGTCGAACTGTGGCGCAGCGAAGAAGTTAAAATTTAACTTGTTTCCACTTGGGCGCTACCGTCACAGTTTGGCTGCGCAGAAGGAGAACAAATTATATTTTTTAAAAATTACAAAGACACTGGGAGACCAAAGCTCGGAGCTGTTTTCCACCACACAATTCACATCTGGAACAAATATATTGAGTATTTTCAGTCAAAACTAATGTGTGTATATAGATAAAACACCCCCCAACATAACCGGGTTCATCGAATGTTTTACAGACCGCATATAGACAAATCATTTCGAGTCCACAAGAAGCTGAAACCGCACCAGACAGGAGAGGAAGAAAAGTGCTCAAGTTCCCAAGTTCTGCTTATAAACCCCCGTTTCTTTATCCCAAGACGTCTGCAGGCTGAGCCCGAAAAAAGACGCGCTGTGTACAGACTGACATACCACGCACATCTGTGAGTATCCCAGTGGGAAACCAGCACGGGGCCAGCGGTGAGCAGCCGGGACCAGTCTCTTAAAGGTGCCGCGTCCCCTTCATCAGCTGACAGCGGGAAAACATCTGGAATAATACGCGCACTGCAGAGGGCAACGTGTTCACCGAATTGAACCGAACGACACCGTGCCACCCCTTGAACAGCCAGGCCTGTTTTTCAATCCGATCTTTTTAAATTGAGTTTGTTGTTGTTGTTTTTTTTTGCTTGCCTTGTGTTTTAACGGCATTTGAAAACCTTTCCTTTTACCTGGGTCTTCTCACAAGTCACGAGGCGGGCTGGAAACTGTCCTTTCAAAGATTTATTGCCTGGGTTTTCCCGGTTTTTCTCACCGAGCAAAAGAAAAAAAGGTTATTCTAAAAGTCATGGATATTTCCGATTGTCACGTACCGTAGGATGCTTACAGGGTTAACTGGTCCCCTGTATGAAAACTGTGTTGTGGAGCAACGACATCTGATACCCACACGAGAGGCACTGTAAGAACGTGAACTGTAGCAGTACACACTAGAGAGCACTACATAGGACCAATTTGTTCAGAATGTTAGTCTGATTTTCATATTGTATGGGTAGAATGTCAGACCATAACGAAAGCAGGTCAATCGGACGATGTAGAGCAGCCTAAGAAACCTAACCTATATGCCTTTTACGAGGTCAGAGGATCCCCCTGTGAAAACACAAAACACAACATGCAGACTCCACGCAGACAGGCACCCAAACATGAGTCAAACCCAGGAAACTGGATCTGCGTGGCACTGGTGCCAAACACTCTGTCCCTGGGCCACATGCTTGGAAGGAAGAGGCTCATAAGTACTTGAAGACCCGGCTGTTCAAGAATGACAGATGATGTCGCCTTGCCCATTACAGATTGAGCTCTGTGCTGAATGACCCTTCAAGTATGGGATCATCCAATCTGAACTGGAAGACTGCAGTAACTCCACAGCCAGCAGCCATATCACCCTGCAGCTCACACCTGGCAGCCCACTGAAGCCCAGCAGGTGTGAGCCTGGCCGGTTCCTGGACAGGAGACCTCCTGGGAAGGTTAAGATTGCTGCTGGAAGAGGTGTCCGTGTGAGTCCTAATGCCCCAGCATAGTGACAGGGACGCTATGGCAATGAGAGAATCTGCAGAGGTTCAAAATCTTCCCTGGCTGTAAGTTCATGACAAAATCAATATGGCATTAATGAGGACGTCTTAAAATAAACACATGGGATGGACAGGCTGGAGACAGAAATGGAAAACCACCTGTGGGCTGACATTTCTTCTCTCTTTTGCAGTTGAAAGCATCCTTTACAAGCAAAGGCGATTCAACACGATTTGTCAGGATGATCTCCTACAGCTGTTAACTCATTAAAACCTTACTTCTAAAATGCTTTGGAGACAGGTTCGAAATATTCTTGTATTTATTAGTGAATGTTACAGTTATGTTGTTGATGAATTTGACCCATTATGTCAGGAGTTCCCAGTCTTAGTCCGGGAGATCTTCACACTGGCAGGTTTTTGTTCCACTTGAGCAATCAATGAAATATTGAACCCTGAATGGGCTTAATAAAAGGTTTATTTTGAACTCTTTGTTTCAGTTCCAAGGACGTTGACTTTTAGCTAATGTGTTTCTTAAGTGACTTAAAATCTCTAACCTTTGAGTAGAAAAGCTCTTGCAGGGCTTCTAGCCAAGCAGTATGTTGGTTCAGTTACGGACTCGTAACCGAGTGATAAACGATCTGTGTAACCGAGAGCCCGGTTGCAACAAAAGGCTGGAGACTGCAGGCCCTGAGGGAATGGAGTCCAACACACCTGGGTGTCCATGGCTTTAGGGAAGCCAGAAACAGCAGAGGTGTCTTCTGTTTGTGTGAGAAAAGTCAGAGACTACAGCCAGCGACAGGAGAATTGCCACCCTTCATTTGCTAATTCATCATGGTTATCCAGGATTTCTTGTTTACCTCTAATTTTTTTTGCACTGTTTTTTAAACCTTTTATTATTAAGCCCCGATTCATCCTAGTGAGTTTAGACAGGAATTCCAAAACCTACAGTATGTCTTCTGCACCATTAAAAAAAAAAAAGATAAATTACGGGATTTATACACAACATCAATTGTTTCGAATGAATAGCGTTGTTTCAAGTGCATAGTGCCGATTTATTTGTCTTCCGCTGCAAGCGGAACGGTCGAGTTTTTACAAAAAAGCGATAGAGCGAACTAGACGAATAATAATATAAGGAGACGAGCACAGGGTAGCGGCAGAATTAGTTTCGCTGGTCTGTGAAGCCCCTCGTCAGCAACCATGACAGGACACTGGCTCATCAGCGTTCAACTAGTAGTCTTTATTGACCTTGTTAAAGGAGAGGGGGTGTGAGCGCCTTCAGCGCCACTGCAACAGGCTGTTTTGACGGGGAGGGATTGAAGCGGGACAAAGGAAGAGCATTCCATCCCGAAAGCCGGGGCTTCCCGGAGATCCCGGACAAAGCCTTTGTTTGGTCAAAGAAAGCCTCTGCCAGCCGGAGTATTCCGCAGCGAGCCCCCGGGGCAGCCCGTCCGAGCTGTTTGCCCACTCGCGCCGTGGGACGTACTGTACAAGGGAGGGAATGGCCGCTGATCTCTTCGGAGATGCCGGGCATCACCTGCCGCCTCCTCAAACGCGGGCGCTCGTCGAAGAAAACTCCGTCTTCACTCAGTTTAGGAGATTGTCAGACAGAGATCAGCTGAAGGGGAGCATATCGCAGAGAAAGGGTTTCCCCTCGCACACAGTAAGATATGCGCGCTTGACTGAAGTGACACTTTCCTTTTTATACGTGAAAAGTGGGCGAGACTTGAACATATCAGAGGAACATACAGGGAAAGGGTCACTGTCAGAAGTCTTTCAAACATAAACAAAGCAGGCCGGGAAGATGCCATGTGGTTTCCTGCAGTCTGTTTCATTTCTCTCCGGTTGAACACGGGTGTGAAGAGTCACAGGCTTTAGTTGCAGAAAGACAGTGGTCTAAGGTGCTTAACAGAAAACCTTTCAGCGCATAGTCCCTGTCTTGACCCTTCTCACTCGGTCTTCCACACACTGAAAGGCCATTACACAGCCACCAGCAGAGACGAATGCTGTCAGCCAGGTGCTGCTGCAGTCAGGATTCGTTCTGCTTTAGTGCTGGGAGGATCGTCGGAATGTGCGCTGGGCTGTGGCCTTCATCTGATTATTAATTCGAACACGCCTTAAACCAGTCTTGAGCTTTTCATAATAATAATAATTGCTTACACTAATATAGTGCTTTTCTGAACACTCCACTCAAAGCGTTTTACAGGTAATGGGGACTCCCCTCCACCACCACCAATGTGCAACGGCAGCCATAGTGCACCAGTACACTCACCCCACACCAGCTCTCAGTGGGGAGGAGAACAGAGTGATGAGGCCAGTTCAGAGATGGGGATTATTAGAAGGCCATGACTGGTAAAGGCCAGGGGGAAATCTGGCCAGCACACTGGGGGAACACCCCTACTCTTTTCGAGAGACACCCTGGGATTTTTAATGACAACAGAGAGTCAGGACCTCGGTTTTACATCTCATCTGAAAGACAGCGCCTGTTTACAGTATAGTGTCCCCATCACTATACTGGGGCATTAGGACCCACATGGACCACAGGGTGAGCACCCCCTGCTGGCCCCACTAACACCTCTTCCAGGAGGTCTCTCATCCAGGTACTGACCAGGCTCACACCTGCTGAGCTCCAGTGGGCTGACAGTTGTGAGTTGCAGAGTGATATGGCTGCTGGCTACATACTTTGGCGCGCATTGTTACACATCTCCATGTCCTATTGCTCGAGTTCTCATTACATGGGGCGTTGTATCAAAAGAAATGGGATCGACCAGATCTTTGTAGACAGTGCAAAGAGGAGAGACCCAGTAGACTCAGACCCAGCAGAGCAGGTGATTGAATAAACATGTGTAACTGGAGCCTGAGACCGATGTTATCAGGCATTACTCTATGCAAAGGGGTGTGGCAGTATGGAACAAGCTGCCCAGCCATGTTGTTGAGGCTTCAAGAAATGGCAGGATGAAGTTCTTGGATCAATGAACTACTTTACATTCCAGGTGGGCTGAATGGCCTCCCCTTGTTTGCAACCTTACATAAGTTCTTACCAGATGTGTTATGTTTTCAAAAGAGAGTCAAACACACTTATCCAACACAATATGCTGAGTTAAATACACTTGTTTTGCAGACGATGCTGCACAAATTGTTAAGTGTTTAGAAACCATTTTACTTCTGTTGCATACTTTTTCCTTAAGAAAATTGAAAAAAACCCAAATGTTTTCTTTTGCTGTTTTAGCTCCAAGCGTGATGACATCTGGATTTGATGAGAAAGGGAGGGGTCCTTTTAGCTGTAGCTGGAACCCAGGGCCTGGCGACATAATTTTGGTTTGGCATCCTCTCATTGCTAAAAATAAAATAATATCTGCAGACGCTGAAAATCTTTAGCCAAGAGAGAGGGGGGGGGAACACTTTTGTCCCTATGGCAATCGAGCAGTAATTTACTTTAAATCCTGAAGTGTTTAAATTACAGTCTGAGTAATGACCCTCCCAGAATGGAAGTAAACTTCATCTGCCGTCTGCTCTCAGTTCTCCCGCAGTAGATGTTCTACAATCGGACAACTGACTTGAACAGGGCGCGGAGCCTCTATAGATAATTATCTCATTCAGTCCCTTGAACATATCCCACCTCAGCACAGATAGGCATGTCTATACACAAACTGCACAGCACAAGCATGAGTCTGGCAGCAGGCTTTTGAAACCTAATGAGAAAAAAGAAGGGTTTCCGTTGTTTGCTGTCATTTGACAGCCCCTGGGCTGTGTCTTTCGCCACATTAAGTATGTTGCTCCTTGTCGATTTTGCTACTCTCCTTTTAGACTGCAGCTCTGATGGTTTGTCACAGTAAGCTTAGATTAATTAAAATGGCCTGGCTCTGGTGATCAGAACACCCAACTTTTACATAATGTGTTATTACACGTCTTGTTTTACATTTGCCCCTGAAATAAATCTGTGAGGCATTCTGAATTTTCACTTGTGTCATGATGATGTGGCAGAAAGATAGAGCTTATTTATTCCCACACATTGGAGAAAAAGGGGTACGAGCTCATGTTTACTTTCTCAACTTATCGTGTGCATGTTCAATGCTGCCCTTAATACTGGGACTAAAAATTGTGCAGCCCTTAACGTTTTAGCCTATTCCCTGTTGAATTTGCTGAGAAAGGCGAGTACAGCTAACTAAGCAGTCATATTTTATTTCTGTTTCCTATACTGGCTCTTTATTGCCAGCAGTCCTGCGAGAGACTTGGGACATTTAGATGCCTGTACGTACAAGACACCAACTTCAGCTGGCGGTTTTATGGCACTGTACAGACCTACTTGGGGGGACTTTTACAAGCAGTCTGCCTACTGATAGGTATTCCAGTTAAAGTGAAAAGAGGGCCTCTTTCCATGAGCTCTTGGATAAACAAGTACTTACATTGCCCCTAAGACTGAGGAAAACAGGGCTCTCATTCACATCAGGTTACAGCACAGGAAAAATCTTGCCAAGTTTTTCTGCACTGCTTAGTACCTTAGAACTCAGGGTAAGTCGTATTACTATCACAAGCTGTGTAAACGAAAGGGGAACGTTATTTTTGTGCAGTCTGGGAAACTGAACAGTGCTATTGGACTCCAATTCCCCCGAAATTGGCCAGACTACTCAGGGGAAGTTAAGGGTGTATTGAAACGGGATCTTTGCACCTCTGGAGCCATATGGAAACACTGAAGCAATGAGATTTTTATTCACATGGAATAACATCATCCAATAAGAGAAGGCACTTAGCAGTGTTTATTGAGTACTTTACCAAACACTTTGGCTTACCCTGCGTAGCTGAGGGCCTGCCAATGGGCTGTCAGAGGAAGAGAGTAGGACCTCCAGCCAGAGTAAGGACTTCACCAAGGGGCAGCGCACAGGTGAGGCAGAGGAGGGATGCAGGACGACCGATGGAAGTG